CCTCGCCTCGCCCGCCCTCCCCGAAGTATTTCTTTCAAACCCCCTCCTGCTTTAAAAGCATAACCGCCCCGGGCTGCTCATCCCACCTAACCGCCTGCACGGCTCCTTCCCGGGTCTCCCTGAACCCAAGGCTGGTTTTTGGCGGGGGGGAGCTGGTGTCAAATCCGCTCTGCGCGGCCTGACCGTCTTCGTCCTGGTGGACACCGAAAGGGCCTGTGGTTTCTGTCTCTCTTTCAGAACCAGATGGTGGACCGCTGTGAAAAGATCCAGCTGCAGAGCGCTTCCATCACCAGATTTGTGGCAGAGGTCCTGCCGGAAAAGAAACAGCGTGTTGTGGTAGTAACACAGTCTTGGGATCCTTGGGCAGGGGGCACCCTGAACCCCCCCCCCCCAGCTAATCCAGTAACTGGCCCTGGAGTAGCTCTCCAAGGGCTGTATCTGGAGCTGTGGTTTCAATTCCGTACTAACTGAACTTCGGCCTGCAGTCAGCCTTGCAGAGCAGAGCACAGGAGCGTGGCTAGAAGAGGAGGCATCTCCTTGGCCAACCCTCCTCGTGCAGGAGGAGGAGGAGGAGGAGGAGGAGGAGGGCGACCCGCTTCCTGCGCTCCCCGCCAGCCCCCTCCGTGGCTTTGAGAGCAGCCTGGGGGTCCTCCTGGCACAGAGGCCATTTCTGCATCGCCAGTTGCTGCTGAGGGCAAGGGCAGAGCGGGGGAGATAAGGGGGATCGGGTTTACTCTTCTAAAACGGGGACTAGCAGCAGTGCTAACCTCCTCTCAGTAGCCTCTGATCAGAGGGAATCGGAACGCAGATCTCGTGGCACTCTCGGTGCATAAAACCCCTTTGCGAGGCTCACGCGGGACGGAAGCGGGCTGTTCTGCGCAACTGCATATTTTTGCAAAGTGCAACGGAGGGCACTGCAGCCACGGCCTTTCGAGACGAGGGCGCTTGCAGTCAGGCAGGCAACGGAGAGCGGTGAGCTTTGGCTGTCCCTGCTGACGCTGCCTCTTCCACTTGCTCAGAGCGCTGCCAGCAGAGCCCGGGAGGGCCTCATTCAGCGCCTGAACTTCATTAGGCACGTATGCGACAGCGAAGAGCAGCGGCTGCTGGAAGCGGCCCAGACCGAGGAGGAGCGGGCCCATCAAAGCATCCTGACCCAGGAGGTGCACTGGAAGGAGTCGCTGCAGAAACTGGACGCCCTCCGGTCATACCTGGTGGCCAGGATCACCACCACCGACGACTGCAGCCTCGTGGTACGTGGGAGGACGCTGCGAGGCCAGCCTAGCCCCACCGAGGGCAAAGACTGGGGGCAGCTGGGGGTCTGTGCCAAATGGAGAAGCCTGGGCTTTGGGGCTGGAGGCCCACGGTCATTGCCATCCTCCCAAGAGCTCGAGGCCTCCGAATGTGCAGCCTTCAGCTGCACAACCACCACCCTGCGTGGTCAGCTGGGCTGAGGACAGCCACTAGCCCGAAGTCTCCCCACGCCTAGTTTAACACCTTCACCGTGACCCCACACTGGCCTCTCTCATGGGACGGGCTGCTCTAGAGCACTCCTAATAAATAAGTATCAGTTGCAACAAGACAGAAGCAGTGGCACTGACACGCTCACGCCTGCCATAGAGCAGCAGCAGCAGCAGCGCTAAAGAGTAAACGTGGCCGTTCTGGGTTAAGGGACCAGAGGTAGGCTGTGCCAAAGCCAGTCCAGCACCAACCCCGGTTCACTCGGTTGCTTTCAGAACCTGGTTTTAGGGTTGGAAGTTGGCTGGGTTCCACTAGCGCCAAGATATTTGGGTTCATGTTGGCACGGTCCTTCCAGATGTACACCCTGGCTTTGGACCTGGGGTAAGGTGCAAATCTAGTACATTGTGATGAATGCAATAAAACACGGTTCAAACAGCCCACAGCTTAACTCAGCGTGTGACAAACGCAGGGCCAGGGAATTGGCCCGGAGCATCTCTTCTACCGTGGCTTCGACTTCTTGCCCGCCCACCTGCCTGCACACAACGCACGCTGTGCTTTGCTCCGGAGGTGGTTCTGCAATCGGGAGAGCCAAAAGTGGGCTGTTGTCAAAGCTGCAGTGCGGTCTCCAGTTTCTTTCACTTCATCCGCAACTGTGGCCCCTTCCTAAGCGCTAGGAACTATTGAACTAACTAACTATAACTCTCTCTCTCTCTCTCTCTCTCTCTCATCTAGCAAGCAGAGGAGGAGATCTCCCTGAGGTGAGGACCGAACAGGCAGCTCCTCGGTTCCAGCAGCTGACAAGTTCGGCAGAGGCTCAGGACCTTCCCCAACGGACCCGAGGCCAAGAAAGGCCCTCCCTTGCTTCTCTTCCCCAAGAACTGGCGCAGGGAACCCTAACCCTGGCTGGGAGCACTTGATCTCGGTCCTCCATGAAACCTCCTTTTAAAAGCAACCGAATTCATCACCCCCTGGGGTGAGGAGGATCTCCTCCTACTTCCACCGCAATACCTCACGTGCTTCACGCCTGAGGATCACAAAGGGGGCTCTGTGTCTGCACACACACACGGGGAGGTTCTGCCCCAGCAGCCACCGTCCCAAGCGCCGAGCTGGCTGTTTTCCCCAGACCTGGGGAGAGGCCTGCCAGAGAGGAATGTGCACATCCTCTTGCGCTCATTCGCATGACAGCATCCTTGCCAAGAATAAACCAAGAAGCCCCAGTTCAGGCCCCCGACCACCCCAGCCATCAGGGGAACCTGCCTCACAAACAGGCAGTCATCCTTCCCCAACCTGGTGCCATTTCCTGGGGATAATGGGCATTGTAGACAGCCACCAGTCAGAAAAGCTGCACTACGAGGGTGCCAGGCCGTGCCCCCAAGACTCACCACTGCCCAATTTTGTGTTGCGCAGGGCTGAGGAAGCCGAGGGGATCCTGAGGCCCCACGAATCAAAAGAGTTAAGCTTCCATCCGCAGTGTGTCCACAGCCCGCTGGCAAGACGGCTCTGGGCTTCAGCTGTTCTCTGCTGGGCCTCAGGTCAGTGGGGCGGGGGGGACGCGGCAGGAGGTTCGTGCCGGTTCGGCACGGCTCCGCACCCATTTGGAATCCTGTGAAAACCATCCCAGGAGCTGGATCTGGCACCAGATTCATCCCGCTTTCAGTTTCAGACTTTGGACTGAAGTAAAACTTCTCTCAGTGGGCGGCAAGCTCCACGTGTGGCTCATTCGACTTTTGGCCCCACTGAAGTTCCGCTCCGTTGTACTGGATGCTACTTAACAGACAGAGGCTTGCAACTCAGCAAGCGAGACGCTCCCCCGGGTGTGGCCCCGGGACCGGCCCAAAGAGCATTAATGCCCAGCCGCTCTGCCGCCTGGTTGCACGAGGGAGAGCTGAGCTGCGGGGGGTGGAGGAAACCAACACGGGTTGCCAGGTTACTCAGTGCATTGATCAAACTCATGGCTGACAGCCACCTTTGGCATGGTGGGTTGATCTTACACCCCCTGGGTGGAAAGCGTCCCCTTACCTCGCTGGCTCTGCCTGGAATTTTCCCACTGACCAGTTTGCTGCTCTCACCAGCACAGATGACATTCGCATTGATGAGAAAACGGTCGGCCCCTTCTTGGCCCTCTCCGACGACAGGAGGACGTTGACCTTCAGCCCCAAGGCGGCCCAGAGACCAGACCTGGATGACCCCGCTCGTTTCGATCACTGGCCCAATGCCTTGGCTGGGGAATCCTTCCGTGCAGGCATCCACGCGTGGCGAGTCAACGTGAGCAAGAGCTGTGCATACAAACTGGGCATCTCCTACAACTCACTACAGCGCAAGGGGGCTGGACCCGAAGCCCGCCTGGGCTACAATCTCTTCTCCTGGATCTTTTCCCGCTATGATCGTGAGTTCCAGTTCTCACACAACGATCAGCACCTGACCATGAAGCTGCTCAAGTGCCCTGCAGAAATCGGGGTCCTGGTTGACTTGGACAAAGGCGAGCTTGTGTTCTATGACCCCGACTCCTGCACTGTTCTCCACATGCACCAAGAAACCTTTGCTGCCCCCGTCTACCCAGTCCTGGCCGTGGCCGATCAAAGCATTTCCCTGGTGTGAGAGCAACTGGGAAGGTGAGGGAAGGGGCCCGCGTCCCCATGATCTGGCGTTAGGGTACAACCGTGTATTGCAACCCAGAACGTGGCTCTGACCCTAGGATGGCTTAACAAGAAAGGCGACTTGCCTTACCGTGTCGCTAGCAAAGGAAGTACGTGTTGGGCTGCCTGGAGAAGAGACGGGATAGAAAGGTTCCGTGTAATGAAACATCAAGGAATCTTTCACAGATCAGTTGCAACTGCAAATTTAGTCTGTAAACGGTCACCTGGAATAGGCAAGAGGGCTCTGGAATACTCCAAATCAATAAAGTTCTTCCAATCTGTTGGGCCTGTTGTTGTTTTCATTTCTGCATTGGCAGAAATCAAGTGGAGAAGTGTGTGCGTGCAGGTGTTAGGATTCCCTTGGTTCCCCAAAGCAATCTCTTATCACCCTGTAATTGTAATTCCATATTGGTTAAACTTGCAGGCCCATTTCTCTGGCCTTGCCCCAACCCCACCCCCCAAGACAAGAAACCTGGATGGGTTTCTGGTGCAGACTCTTACAAGCAGGGATGTAGGTTTTATTGAGCTTAATTTGGGTTAATGTTAAGCTTTGTTAAAATGCAGTTTCCTCCCCTAGAAATAACTGCCGAAATCCGGCCGCTTCCTGCAGCCTTTCTCTATCCGTGCCCGCAGATCAAAGTGAAGGTAGGAGGGGTTTTTCTGGCACCTCCACGTTGCTCTCCATCAGCTCCCGGCCATTCTAAATCTGGCACGCCAGACCCAGAACTCTCGAGGGGAAGATTTTGCCGAGGCGAGTCTCACGCGAGGATAGTCTTAGGCTGGCAGAACACGGCTCCAGGGCTAGGGCCCCGGGAGAAACCCAGGCTGGTGGTTATCCTCCCCTTCAGAAGAAATTCCAAAGACACCACGGTAATCATTCACAGCAGGGCAGTATTTTTAAAAGTACAAACCAATGAAGCAGAAAGGGAACCGGAATTATCAACTTCCTGGCCTTTCCCTGGCCCAGAAACCTAGCAAAGTTCTCCGCAAGGCTCTTGGGATGGCGGTTTCGCACACGGCAGTCCTCCAGCGATCAGCCCTCTGAGCGGGAGGGGGCTCGACGCTCTCAGAGACGGTAGCTCCAGCCTCTTTGCCGTGGGGTCATGTTAGGAACCCCTTAAAAGCAAACTGCTCCCTTACTCCCCCCCCGCACCTCTTCAGACCTAAGATAATCAGCTTCATTTCTACGCTGGCAGTCGGGCAAAGACCTGCAAAGGCAGAGGGAAGGCAGGGCTCTGGCAGGAGGGCGCGGGGCTGCCAAGCCGAGCCGACTTCATCCTCCACCTCTTTCTGCAAGGGCGGGCCAGGCCACGCACCCTCAGGCGCAACCGGCACCTTTCCACACCTCGGGGCGCGCCACGCAGTCTACCAGCCCAGCAGCAGTGCAGGAGAAGCGGGCTTCCACTCGAGGGGAGGCTGCTTTGGGCCCCGCCACCTCTCCAGATCACAGGCGCCCGCCGGGCAGATGGACCGGCCCCGCTTGATGCGGGGGGGGGGGGGGGACCGCCGCTGATTCCTCATGGATTTCGCCCAGCTGAAGCGAAGCCCCAAGCCGCAGCACCCTCCCCTCACCTGCTGCAGAGAAGCCCTTCCCCGCCACCCCGTCTCACCGCCGTCCCCAGAGGAAGCCCCCTCCTCTGGCCTGAGCAGCAGGTGCGACAGACCCCCGCCTGCCTGTTTGCAACTTTGCGGGCCCTGGAGAAGCCTGCAGCCAGCTCCTGCAGCTGAAATGGGCATTAAAATCACCGACGCGAATTTGGATCGCTGCCATGCAACAGGGAGGGAGCGGATCCCCTCACAGAAACCCTTTGCTGGGGTCCAGAGGAAGAACGGCAGGCCGGCCAGCCACGGCACCCACAGGCTGCTTTCAGCCACCTCTCGAGATTGGAGCCTGCCGCGGGCTCAGCCCTCCGCCAGGACCTGGGGCTGCAGAATGGACGGGGCCACCACAGCCGAGGGGGCCACTCTCCTCCCCCCCTTCAGACCCCTCCCACGACTTCCCAGCAGCAGCACGCAGCCAGAACGGCAACCCCGCACGCCCGCAGCTGGGCACCGACTTCACCTACACCAGCAGCAGATCGCTATCTACGCACATAGGAATTATTTTTCCCTCAGTGAAGACTAGATCTTTCCTGCTCACCAGGTTTCGCACAGCATTACAGAAAAGGCAGGAGGAGGAGGAGAACGACGACAGCAAAAGACAGGCTGGAGAAAGCGAAGCGAAGCAGAAGAACCCACCTGCTGAGGGGGCAAACAGGCACCGCGGCATCAAGCTTTCCTTCCGGATGGCGGAAGATGCTTGGCTGCCAGTGCCCACGTGGCCAGGGGAGAGGTGCCTCGCTCCGAGGGAGAACCATGGCCTAGCAGCGGCAAGAGCAGCAGCTTTGTGAACAGAAGAGCAGAGCAGGGTTCACGCAGCTGGAATTATCCATGGTTTGCTGAACCAGCCACAGTGGCCTGGTTCCCACCTCACGCTAAGCCAAAGCCAAATGCCACGCGTTATAGGCTAGCGGGATGTACGACGCCACCGAGGTCTTCCGTTTTTCGCCTGTCCAAGCCCAGTTCAACCAACCGTCCCGGATGCCGACAAACAAGCTTGGTGAGGACGGGAGGCGGCAGCAGCTCTTTCCTTCCTCTCCAGGCCGTGTGGATCGAGCAACTCCTTTTCTACTCCTGTCCAGTAAGAGAAGTGCATTACAAGACCGTTCTGCTCAAGTGGAGTTGAAAAGCAAACCGAGATGCACAAAACCTCAAATTAAAAATCCAGACGAATTTCTGCATCTCGGGCACCTACATCCTAGGAAATGAGCCCCCTCGGGGCGGATACCAGGCTGCTTAAGAGCTTACGAATTAAAAGAAACAGGTTTTTTTGGCTTTCTTCTTTTTGGCCGAGGATGGGCTTCTGGTACCTCACAAGGCCCTCTGCAATTACAGGGCAGTTCTCAGGCTAATTGTTCCCTGAGGGAAGCGCTTTGCCTTTTGGTCCACACGCGTCTCCGGACATTCTGCAGCCAACCAGTGTGGCCGAAGTCTGGCAGAGCAAGGAACAGCACGTTGTTGGCAGTATTTGAAAAGGAACTGTTTTGTTTTTGTTTTTTTTTAAAGAAAGTATATCAGCAGGGGCCTGGAAATTCTGTTACAGCATCACTTGAAGTGTCCAAATTCCTTTAATTTATCAGGGGCTTTTAAGGCAGTGCTGTGCAAAGCTTGAAGCAAAATCTTCCAAAGCTGGAAAAGTGTCCCTAGGCCTTCAGCCCCCCGGTCTTTTCCAACTTGTTCCGCGTTTCCGTCTGGGCAGCAAGGAAAGGGGACCGCCTTCACGCCTGCTCTTCTTTCAGCCACTGCAGCAGCTGAGGCACGTAGTAGGTGATGATGATATCCGCTCCTGTAAGAGAAGCGTTTCCAAAACGAAACGGCACAAAACTCTTCCCTTAATGAAAGCTCTTGCTGTGGAGCCACCGAAAAAACCAGGCTGGAAGCAGATTCACCAGGGCAGGATCCCGGCCTCTGTGGAATACCTCCAGCGAAGGACCACTCCCCACCGGGCAAGGCAGCCCGTTAGCTTTATCTCCCAGGGATCCAACGTGTCCTCCGGCCCTCCTGGTCTCCACACCTTCCTCTCTCCCTTCCTCCCCTCCCACCTTCCGCCGTCCCTGGCTTTGGACAGAGCTGTCACGGGGCCGACCCTCCAGCTGTCCCCCTTCAGTCCTCCACTGTTTCGCCCCCTCTTCAGAAGGGAATTCAAGGAGCAACACCAGCTGCACTGGCAGGGCCAGCCCCGGCCTCTCCTCCTCCCTCGTTCGCTCACCTGCTCTCCTGAACCCGGCCATGGCCTCCATCACTGCCGCCTTCGGGTCAAAGGCCCCGGCCCGCGCTCCGTGCCACGGCATGGCGGACTCTCCGGAGACACGTTGACAGCCAGGGGGTGGCTAGGATGCTGGGGAAACACACACCCAAGTTTCTCAGCAGGGGGAGGTGGGCCCCTGCACCCACCAGCTACTGCCCGCTCTCTGGCGGCTTACTTTGTCCTTCACTTCCCGCACAAGGTCAAGGTAGGGCATCCCAGGCTCTACCATCAGCACGTCCGCCCCCTCCTGCACATCCCGGTCCTGGGAGTGGGGGAAATACAGCAGAGGGAGGTGGTTAGAGGGGACGTGTAGCAGAGCCACTTTGCCGGAAGGCCAGGAGCTGAACCCGAGGCCCTTGCGCTGGGGCGGGAGGAACAGACAACGTTCACACTCCTGAACCTCCACAGTCCTGGCCTGGCTCCGCTGCACACACGCAAGGTCTCCATGTCCTTCGCTTCCCGCACGAGGTCAAGGTAGGGCATCGCAGGCTTTGCCATCAGCGTCCACACACAGCTTATTTTCTGGGTTAAAGCCTGCACGTCCGCCCCCTCCTGCCTCCTTTTCTGCCCTCTCCCCTCGGCCGCTTGGGACATCGGTAGTACATCCACTGGGTCTGTCCGGTGGCACTTCCTTCTTCCTGGGGAGGGGAGGGGATGTCGTCTGTTCCCCAACAGAAAAAGCACTTTAAAACACTTTCTCAGACAGGGTGGAAGCCTGTTTCAGTAATGAGAGGAGCGAGCTAAGGTGTTTACTTCTCTCAGCACAGCAAGATCTGCGAACAGACTTTCACCCGGTCCCTTGCGGGAAGCAGTCTGCCTTGCATGAGGGTTTCACGGAAGCTCACCAACAGGGCCCACCTCAGGGGCCAGGGAGTCCATAAGCATGGGGCAAAGACGGCCGTCATCTCTGCCGCAACTGACAGTCAGGGTAGACTGCTCCTCACCCTGGAGTTTTGGTTTTGCCTTCTCAAAGTAGGTCATCCCAGAGATAAATTAGAAATGGTTTTAAAAGTAAAACGTACAGAGGGAGAGTTAAACTGAAAAGGGAAGCATAAAACAAGACAACCCCTGAGCAGAAAACGCATTAGAAGACAAGGCTTCTCCTTCCTCCCAGAAGAGGCCAGGGCAAAGCTGGCATTTGGAAAGGTCTGGCAGAGCATTACTAGGCGCCACCGCGAGGTTGGAGGGCACCACTGCCCTTCCGTGTGACACCCAGAGGCCTACAGAGCCTTGCCTGATGGGGGGCGAGAAGACAGTCCAGCTGGGCCCCACTAAACGTGTCCCGAGAAGGGAACGCCTGTGGAGAACATCCGGGGGGTGAGAAGCAGCCCCCCCAGGGCCCATTTTCTCCACAAGCCCAGCCGGCATCCCCCAGGGCCACTCACTGCTGCCCACAGC